AGGAATTCTGGTAAGGATGAAGATAGGTCAATGCTCTGAATATCATCGTATAGCAAATAGCAGACTAGTGAGCCTTTTTTTAAGGCGGATGCAAAAGACAAACCAGGATTTATGGCTGCGTCAATTTGAATGCCAAGAAGATCTGACGTCCCATGTGCATATGGAGTGACCTGGGCTATTCCAAAGGAAACAGTGTAAGTTCAATCATTCGGTTGAATATTTATCAAATATAATTATTAGAGAACATTTTCAGAACAGTGCTTCGCTTTCTGAACGTATCTAAAGCAATGTTGTATTTGGGCTATGTTTCTGCATACAAGTTCAACGCAGAAAAAAATAAGTCATTTGACAACTAGTCACTTTTTTATTTTATTCTTTTTGGAAAATAGTAAGTATTTGAGAATTGAAGACCAAGATGATTATGGTTACACCTAACCAGATATAGAAGAAGACAGCAGTATATGACTGGAGAATGAAAAACGATGGACCAGTCTCCCAAACAAAGGAACTCAGAAGTCAGAACTGATCACAGGAAGTCAGGAATAAATGAAGCATAGCATAATTTGTTCTTAAATCCTGCCAACGTGCACTGGACAACTAAAAAGGAGCATGGGATCAGGTGTAACATTTTTGAGAAATGATACAGCTACTGCATGCAAGAAATATCATTGCTTTTCTCCTCGTTGAGGCAAGAGTCAAATGAAAAAGACAGATACAGAGAATTGAAGCATCCAAGATATAGCACCTCAATGCGTGATACAACGCCTTTTGTTACAGATATAGTGTCTCCACCAAGAGGATATCCCACAACAGTTACTGAATCCTGTCATAAGTTTGAAAATGAGAGTTATACAGCACGAAGTAAATGTGAAGTACTTTTTCATATATAACTAGAAACAATATGGCAAATGTTTATCTCATTTGCAGGAGCAAAGAATGACTTCAGCTCTGACAGAAACTTTTATGGTGTTCATGTGCTATTAACAAGCACTACATGTTACAGTTGCAAGTTACCAAAAAGTTGCCTCAACTATAGTTTCAAGCGTTTAACTGTACCTGTGGTGACTAGCCAGAGAGGAAAAAAACCCAATATTCACATTACATGGATCATTAAAGGTCCAGTAAACACATCATGACGATAATTGGTTACCTGAAGGCATGGCAAACGGCCAAAATGAAGTGCCTCTGTTCCTCTCCAGAACTCTTCATTCTCAACAGATAGCAATGCAAGATCGCATTCGGTACCCCTAGCTAAAACCTGTAAATCATTTTGTCAGTTGACTTCTTACATGTAAGTTTTATAAAATCAAATGAAATAGTCAAATACCTTGCTCAAAAGATTACTAAGCATATGTGGTAACTTTTAATGTTGGTCTCAAAAGAGTAATACTGAAAATTAGAAAAATAATTACGATTATGATTCTTTTAATAATTCCCAAGTCCCAGTGGTGGAGCTTCCAATAGTCCAGTCCCACCAGTACAGTGGAATATGGTTGAAAAGCTAAGTTGGCTTGCAATGGATATTAGTTGTAAGAAAATGAACAGAAGACTGACTCAGGGATCCAGGATTTCAAAACCCATAAGCATAACTCTTGTTTCAGATAATTCAGATTCACAATAAACTGATAGTTACCTTACTTCAAGAGAATTGCAATGTTCATTGCATAAACATTTTGATTGCGCACTCAGGAAAAAAAGATATTTTGACGAATCTTGAAAGCAGCATTGCTATAGGTGATTTACCTTGGCAATATACTTTTTATCATCTCCCCTTCTCTTTACTTTGACCTGCAACGAGAAGCAGCCTTACCTTAACAAATTAACTGACATACCTAAACTCTTATCCATAGAAAAACTAATGGTACATCGGTATCAGCACCTCATCAGAAATTTTAATTAGTTCATCTTCAACTGCTAGTAGCTCAAAAATTTAAATCAAAATAGTAACAGAAAAAAAGAGAGTGACAAACCAAAGTAAAATAAAAACATGAAGAGATAAAGCTGTCCAGTTGAATAACCACCTGAGTGTCGTGCTCAACGCAATGTGCATTTGTCAAGAGTTTGCCATCCCCAATCATAAAAGCACTGTAAAAGGACATGTCTTGTAAGATACACAAAGAGCTTCTAAGTTCAGGACATGTGAAAATCATAATCTTCAAAATGAGTGGCCTCATCCAAAAGATATGCATAAATTTCAAAACATGTAAGGTAAGAATATCTGTCACAAGATAAACAAAGGTACCGAAGTCAACTAATGTGATCACAAAAGCCCTAGCATGTTGATGACTAAAGCAGGATGCCTATCACAATGAAACAAACATCATTATATTTACAGCCTTAAGTCTCAAGTGGTCTAATCAGTACAAGAAAGGAAATGCTGCAACTTAATCTCTACAAAATTATGAAATCACTTATTGCATCATGATAATTTATATTCCACGCCTGCATACATCCCCACCCACCTAGAAATGCACAATAGATGAAATTTTATATGGAAGAAGTAAAATTAGCAATTGAACCAGATACACACATGTTATATCAACACTTACCTCCCACTGCTTGAATGCTGCCTTTGCTTCTGCCAAGGAAGACCATAATCAGGTGCGATATGAGTGCAGTAGACCTAACAGGAGAGAAACTACTTCAGGTGATAAGGACATGATTAATCACAAAACAAAGCAAAGTCTTACTCGACAGAACAAGATCTTTGAGCAAACCAGAACACTGTGCTTGACATAATATACTGAAAAGGAAGTTGCAATACGAATATGACAAAGCAGTACTTAGCGCACACATAAATATATCTTGTTGAAATATAAGCTACTATAATACGGAAAAGTAAGCATTATCAATAGCCAGGGGCATGTATTCGTGAAGCCTACCTTGACGACAGCATTAAAGAATTTGTCCTCTTCAAGATCATCAAAGTCAGCAACCTGATGTAACCGCACGGTTAGCATAAGAGAAGGTTTGTAAGATTTTCGGGCAACATTTAATCAAGCATACATGTGGATTGCATTGAAAAGGAAGAAGAAATGTACATGGATGAAGATGGGTGTGTTTATTAGCATTCACAGGTGCATGAGCACATGCACAAGATGATGAAACAGTACGAAACCATCATAAAGATTCATTCAGACTGAAGAGCATGGTTTATAACTGAGGCGGTGAACTTACAAAAAGAAAGTGCAAACTGACTCAAATCCAGAATGGATAAGTGCAATTAACAGTTTGAACAGACGACACCCCACCCTCAGGCCACAGCATACAATCCACACAGACGACAATGTATAGGGTAACCCAAAGCACCCAGCCAAACAACAGTAAGCATGTTGACATTGAAGCAGCAATGAAGTGAAAATATTCATCCTCGCTCTAATTGCCATTGATTCTACTCTGGATGCAGAGGCTGGGATAGATTCTACTCCATCATGTAAAAAAGATAATTGGCACCCTCATTCAATTTGGAACTACAGCTGTTAAGCAGTATTCAATTCTCCAGACTAGCATGCACTGTGCAACCTGTAAAGTGTAAACCAAACAGAAAAATCGATGCGCCTCGGACCTGCGACTCCTTAAAATCGACGGCAAGCCCCCTGTCTCTGCGCGACGACGACGGCTGCGACCCCCCAGCGCCGCTACCGCCTCCGATGCCGCGCCGCTTCTTCGACACCCCCTCCACCTGCGCGCACGGGCACCCCACGCCCACAACAGCAAAGTTTCAGTCGGTGCCGCACCTTCCAGAGTGAGAAGCCCAACTGGAAGTCGTACCGCGCGCGTCGGGCAAGAGCCACTGACAAAGTAGTGAGACACAAGGTACCTCGTCGAAGCGCCGGAGCGCGCGCCGGCCCCGCGGCTGCTGGCGCGGCGCGCGGGCGACGACGGCGGGGCGGAGGCGGAGGCGGCACGAGCTGGAGGCCGAGGCCGTGGACGAGGTGGTGGAGGGGAAGGCGAGGAGCGCGGCGACGCACGCCATTTCTGCTGCTGCTGCTTCGGCTGAGGGCCTGCGGCTGGCGACGCGCGGGGGTTTGATTTGGGTGTTTCCCTGCCCTGCGGAGTGAGCAGCGAGCTCCTTATCCTCTCTCTGTACACTTTCATCAGCTGGGGACTCGGGGAGGGAGCCTCACGTGCGGGCCACGTGAGATAAGTATCTCTTTCTGCTCTAGATTAAATTATTTTAAATTAAATTAAATTTTAAAAAATATCATCAATATTTATGACAATAGATTAGATATACTATAAAATATATTTTCATGATATCATAAATGTCCATTCCTATAATATTAGTTAAACTTATGATATTTGACTTTAAGGTGATTCTAGAAATTGACAGAGTAGATGTGTAAGTGATATTCGAAGATGCTCGTAGAAGTATGGTTTTACGTGTGTGCGTCTCTTGTACGTGCGTTGTGAGTGTCTGAGTTGTACTACTGTGTAATCAAAAAAAAAAGTGACAAAGGCGACCGAATGGATCTTCATGTGTAGTTAAACAATAAACAGAAAGGATTTCTAAGAAATGGTATAATGTATGACCACTCATCATGAAAGCTATTGGTAAGCATTCCAAACCCATGAAAAAGGTCTCTTGGAGAAGCATTCTAATAACCAAGGCATCAATCTACCAAAACTTTTCTCTAATTTTAGCATGCATTACAGAAATGGATTATCCTTTGTTTCTCTGAACTCTAAAGGGCGTAGGGCGTACCCAGTGCAGAGAGCTCCCGCTCTGTGTGGGGTCTGGGGAAGGGTGTTAGTGGCAAGCCTTATCCTCGCCTGTGCAATGTGAGGAGACCGCGACTCAAATCGGGGACCTTCCGGTCACAGACGGTCACAGAAATGGATTATCCTTTGTTTCTCTGAGCTCTGAAGGAACAAGAAAAAACGAGAACAGAGGACTAAACTCTAAAGGTGTGTCCAGAATGGCACATGAAGACAGGGTTAAAACGAGAACAGAGGACTAAACTCTAAAGGTGTGTCCAGAATGGCACATGAAGACAGGGTTACATCAGAACTCCAGCAGTATTGTCGAGCGCCTTCTTTGCAATCTTGAATTTGCCAGCCAAGTCCTTCCCGGTGTCGTCGGCGATCACATGCTGCTTGATGAACAGCACAATGCCATCCCTCAGTATCTCGAGCTCTGGAAGGCCGGCGACACGAGTGAAAACATTCTACACCCGTGCGTCATCTTTCTGTAGTAAGGTCTCAAACAGCATCTGGAAATGTGAGATCCTTGCTGGAGTCATCTCCACTGGGTTGGCCAGGTTAACCACCTTCAGAGTTGCGAGGGAGAGCGTGAAGTTTGACAGCATCTCTGCAACTAGTTTTGCAAGGTCCATGGATCGACTTGACTCCATATTATCTAGCTCCTTAAAATGGTCCCAGATGCAGTACTGAACAAAGTAGAAAACAAATAATCAGAAAGAGAGACCCTTTGATCACCAAATATGCTGAAAGCAAGGCTGCAAGCTCTACAAGTAATAGCTAGACAAGATTCTTTCCAAATCCGAATTAGTCCATGTAAGCTACCATCTGGCAATGCTAATGTGGTATTAGCACCATACCAATATGAAATATATGAAAAACACAAGTTGAAATTCACCGACGTCTTGAGCTGTCATAATAGAATGTCGATTCATACTAAATTCATTTATTTCAGAAAGGGGTGGCCTAAAAATGGATACACGTAAAATAAATCCACATAAACTACCTGAGAAAAAGTAATTTCTGAGCCAAACAAGCTTTAATATAAATAGCAAACATGATAAATACAACAACATACCTGCAAGCTGAACTTGTGATTTTTCTCATGGTTGCATAGCTTGGAAGCAAGGACTGTGTAATACTTATTGAACATCTTCTCATGCAGACAACAGTCAACAATGACCCTTATAATTCCTCGGTCCTGCATATCAAGCACAGGAAAAGGCATACATCAATAATATTGTCAAATACATGCACAACAACTAATCTTCAGGAACATTGATTGCATGCCTGCTTCCTAGAAAGGCCCAGCCTCAAGAGCTTCTCAAAAGCATCTACATAGTCTTCAGCACTCATTATAATACAAAAGATTGCTCTTCGTATGTCAGTGTTCATCCACTGAGCAGCTGCAAGCTGAAGAAGTTTTTGTGTCTCTACAACATCCTTGCTTATAACAGCTGCAACATCTTCGACATTAGCTACTGTGGATGGAACATTCCCAGACAACCACCATTGCCCTTTCTTATCAGGGTCCAAAAGCCTACTCCATGTTAGCCCACGCAAGAGGACATCTTCTGCCTTAAGCTGTCAATATGTAAAAAAAGGAAAAAAAAGTGTTAACTGCATTCTGAAATCACAATTCATAACACAGATGATGGGCAAGTCATTCTGGTTCAAACCTTTTGAAGCCACTTTTTTATTCGAGTATGGTGTGAAGGATCCTCTTGAGGCCTTTTCTTATTGTTCTTAATGTCACATATTGTTGGTGCAGAAAGTGACCAACACGTAAATATTTGTAGTTTTGCCGAACGTTGTGATCGGATGTGGCCTAACACTCAATGACATAGGGTTTATACTGGTTCAGGCAACGTGCCCTACGTCCAGTGTGAGTCGGTCGGTGACTTTATTCCTGAGCCCAGGTGCTCGAAGTTTGCTGTGGGGTTACAAACGGAAGGGAGAAAGATGGGGGGTGCAAAAGTTTCGGTCGGACTCTGGTCTAAAGGGCCGAGAGTGACAGGAACTCCGCTATGTGCTAAGTGTTTGAGCGTGTGCTCGAGGTTTGAACCTAGTGGTTCTTGTTGTGGTGTGTGAGTGAACTGATCGATCGTCCTTTTTGGGAGAGAGCGCATCCCCTTTTATAGATGAAGGGGATAGCCTTACAAGTGAGAAAGGGAGAGTGTACGTATGCTAAGTCTTGTTGCCCAAGCCGTCGGGTACAAGATGATTGTAGGCGCCCATAATACTGTTAATGTCAGATGCATGTGGGAGGTTGCGTCGTCTTCTTCTGGTATGGCAGACGTCGGTGCCTGCCATACTGTTGATGCCCAGAGACATGTAGGGGGTTTTACCATGTTCGCCTGGTATGGTAAATGCCGGCGTCCACAACACTGTTGATGCCCAGAGGCATGTGGGGGAGCCTTACCGTGTTTGTCTGGTATGTGAGTTGATGGCACCCACAACACTGTAGGGAAAAATATCGGCGCCCACAACACTGCTTGGGTTCTGACATGCTAGGAAGGTTGTAGGGTACTGTCCTGCAGGTGTACAGGGTACGGTCCTCGGTATTGCGGTTTGACTTGAGTGCCCTGCCTCACTTTCTCCGTCTGTTTTCTGGTCCTCACCGAGCGGGCGTCCTCGGTCGGTTAGTCCCAGTCAGCTCTGATTGCGTCAAACGGAGAAGAGCTGTAAGCAGGGGTTCGGCGCATCCCCGGTCGGAAACGCGGGTCGGAGTCGTAAGTGGTGTTTGGCCAGGCCTTCCGGTCGGAGAGGCCGTCCGGAGGCGGGCCGGAGTTGGAAGTGAGCACTGTCCCTCCTTAACGAGGCCCTCCGGTCGGAGAGGCGGGCCGGAGTCGGAACCGGGCACCGTTCCTCCTCGGCCAGGCGTTCCGGTCGGAGGTTGGATCGCCCTTCTGACCTGTCGTTTAGGTATTTGGGCCGGCCCAGGAGTTGCGCGCCGTTCGCAACGTTGTCTGCTGGGCCGAGCCTTTGTTGGGAAGCCGGTCCATGTGGGACTCCGGGTTTATGAACCCGACACATATGGTCTCAAGCATAAATTCTATCTGAGCAGTAAGTTAAAACCATTCAGACAAATTAAAAACCTACGTGGAAAGTGATGCTTCTTAAATAGGTGCATTGAACAACATAAACTTCTTCTGCTACGTATATCAGTCTTCCCATCTTCTCGAACACCAGAGTGCAATTTAAGCTGATTCACAGAGTTCTGAATACTAAGGACAAAATCTTTCATAGCACCTGGATCATCTTCCCTCAGCTTCATTCCACAGCCTGCCCATTTAGATGAAAGCAAATTCCCAGCTTCACTCAGAGACAGAAAAAGAGGGTATGGTACTCTATACATGAATAGTTATTATGATGGTTAAATGTTTCAGTTGAGTTACTATTGAAATGTGATATAACACCATACACTGTAGGATGGTTGTGACAGAACCGCCCAATTTATACAAGATCAAGTATGGTTGTCCCCGCTAACACGTTGACACACCCATACTTTCACTCATATAAACCCGGTAGTCCGCCGAGTGTCCCGAAAGACCTCGGTAAATCAACATCACAACCAAGATCGCGTGATTAAGCAAATACACATCACATACATCGGGTTGCAGCGGAAATAATGTTACAAAGGGTTTAACAAATAATAGTACAAATTTGGGTTTCAAAACCGCTTAGTGAAAACAACATAGCTTTCAAATGATTACATTAATATAAGTTCCAAATATATTGCTAGCATAAGTGACATCATCCGACAAAAGCATATAGATGAGAAGTAAATATAGAATCACCGAGCCCACGGTGGTTAGCCACCATCATCAACAAATAGAACTTCACCGCAACAAGGTGGGATAAACCACAGTACTCGAATGTACTCACCGGACTTTCACCCGTCAGAAACCGTAAATAAAGTGACACCAAGGATTATGCAAGGCTTTCTTTAGTGGGCTAGTGACTTATTTGCGAAAAGCATAAGCTATCATGAAGAAACCATTTTAAGTACTTTGCATCATCTTTATTATGACCTATCCATCTAGGTAAGCACACATACTATAGCAATCACTTGATTAACCAATAACATCCAGCTTTACCAATTTAGATTTAGCATATCCCATACCATCCAGATAACCATCATTGTTCCATAATAATTACTACGATGCAAAGAATTCGAGTCAAGTGCTCACTATCCGGGGAGCGATGGCGATTCAATCGATTCCTAACCACCGGTGATTTATTCCTTACACAAACCTCACTCACCCGCTAAAGTGAGATATTGATCACCGAGTCAACTTTTCGTATCTCGAGTTTGCCAGAACCACATGTACCGGGGCCGACCCGATTGCACTTTGGTCTTATCATCCCCCTGTGTCCTACCACACTGCTCCGCACAAGGCGCTTGGGCAAATCTACTCGGCCCGAAAAATCTCCCACTTCAGCGGTCGGAAGGTACTTTATCCGCCAAATAAATGTAAGGCATGCGTTCAACATGACTCGAGGCCCAACAACAGTCGGTCCTTAATCGACCTGAGACGAAAACTAACAGCACCCGTAACCCCGTCTGCAGTTGCCTCCAACTTTTCCGTCCGGTCTCCAATTATCCATCACACATGGTTACTTCGAGGATATCATTCTTTCCATAGCTAAATTCTTCCAGTAACCACCTATAATGTAGGTGAACGGATATCACCGATTGCTACCGGTCTAAGCAAGGCTAAGCAGTTATCCGATCCTGATCTAACAGGGAAAAAGGGTAATAAGGTAGGCAAGGATAGTAATAAATGCATCAACGGTTTCGATCAACTCCTACAACTTAATGCAACAATATATAACTCATATATAGAAAAAAATTGCTTTTATAAATTAGGAGACTTATAATGCTCCGGGGCTTGCCTGGGATCCGATCCGACACAAGTCAGTTCAGTTAGCTTGCACCGTCCTGGTGATGTCTCGGGTCCTAGCACTTGCTTAGTCCTTCCATCTTTGGGATAGATCCATCAAACACCGTCTTCGGGTTTGGCTCCAACATCACGTCCTTCACGTGGTGCATCTAGCGTACCTAGATGAGATGCAATATGCAAGTGCATAAATATGAAGAATAGTACCATGAGACGCATCACAAAATAGCAAGCAAGACAAGCATAGTTTACACTAACACACTTAACAATATACAAGCAAACACTATAATTGGAATCTGTCAATTTCTGGACATGCAAACAGCAGCTACAAGATTTAGCTATAACTGGAGTTATACAAATCCAAATGACTTGCAAGAAGACATTATGGAAAGCTTATGAAATTTTCTACAATTCATATTAAATCATCTTAGCATAATTCTCAAGCTAACTAAGTCAAATATATCCATTTACAGAAACTGGTCTACAATTGACAGAAAACAGCCATTTCTGAAACCCAACTTTAAACAGGCATAACTCTTAAACCACAAGGCCAAATACCACCAAATTTTAACAGCAGCTAGATACATGAATTATCTACAACTTTTGTATAAACAAGTTTCACAACAAGGCACATTATCATAAAGAACTTTGCTAGGTTCCCAGATCTGTCCATAAACCACATCGGCAAGAAAATAATTATTAACTTATGTTGCAAATGCATAATTGGGCAAAACCAACTTTACCAACATTTCACACATGACTAAAGAACACCAGAAAACCTAGTGTCCATGACCAAATAAATTCTTTTAATGCATTTCTTAATTTATTTTAGATAACAAGGTGACTTAATGAACATATACCAAAAGTATACAATAAATTCTACAAAAATTACAGTGGCTCACATATCCTCTCAATAGTCTACTGTACAAATTTCACTCCATTTGAATATGTATAGCAACCTCTATGAAAAAGACAAGTTGCTAAAGCAAGAATTCATATGAGAGCAAGATAAACCAATAACTCACTCATACTTCATCCAATACTCATGAAATTTTTACCACACATCAACTATCACATGAGTAGAATGCCACAAAAATTTCACTTCATTTGGAGCCCTAGATCTACAGTTATGAAAAATAACAAATTCAACTAGCATTACAACCTTCCTGCACAAATCTATTTTTACCGCAAAATATTTAAACTAAAACATGCCATATTATAGATCCACTGCATAGACAATTTCACAAGGATTCCAAAAAGTCCTCATTTGCTATTTTACGAATTTCCTATGAATTACTATGAATTTATAAAATTCCTGCAAAATAATTACAAACCAGTCCTTACGGTACTATTATTCACATGAGTCACCGACTTCAGCAGTTAGGACCCTGAACTTCGTCGAATTCTAGTAGGAGGTCCCTGACGGGATTTTGAGCAGGGAGGCCGGCCGTCGAGCTCATTGCTCCGGCCGTAGGAGGAGGCCATGCCGTCGGCGGGATGAGGGGCGGGGGAGCACCAGGGGTCCATGCAGCCAGCCCTTCGTGGTGGTCACGGATGGCCGAGAGGTGGCTTCGAGGTGGACCGGCCATGTGCACTGCCGTGATCGGGAGGCGGCGGCGGTCGGCGATCGCGGTGCTCCCAACGTGGTTTTGGACGGCGAGCACGAGCACGAGATCTGGGAGGTGAAGGCGGTTGCTGGTAGTCCTCGGGAGGAGTGGAGGGCGCGAGAAGCGGGAGCGCAGTGACCGCAGAGCTTCAGCAAGCGGCGTCCCATAACAACCGCCATGGCGAGGCAGAGAGGAAGTGAGGGCGAGTGGGAGGCGAGCAAGTGAGAGCAGGAGGAGGGGAGCGTCTGGCGTCGCGCGTTATGGAGGAGCAGAGCACAAGGGGCGCGCAAGCACGCGCGCGGAGCAGCAGAGCGCAGCTCGGGCATGGTCGCCACGCACGCGGCCACGCGTCGTTCACAGAGGCATATTCCCGAACAGTGGCGGGCGACAACGTGGGCACGGTGGGCGCTGTTATTGGGCCATCTCTGGGCTGATTAAGACCTTGGGCCCAAAACGAAGTTTGAAGCCCGCGAACTGCTCTACATTTTTCATTTAGAGACCAAGGTCATTAGAGCTCTTCAACAGCGGGTAATTAAGCCACAAACTGCTAGTGTCGGCCCTTGATAACGGTCATGGAAATTCACTTTCGGAGGTCAAAACTCGGTCAAACTCAGTGCAACTTTTTGCATGCTCTTCTCCATAGTATAACCTTCAACTTCTCTTTTTGGACCAACTCAAGTTGCTTAATGAATTTCGGAGAACGCGGAATGCCAACGTCGTTGCTTAGCGAAACTGACTTAGAATAATTCTAAGTGTTGAAATCAGCAGCAGGTTCCAACTTCGAGCCTCTGTTTGACTTATTTCCAAGTTGATCTAGCTCTTGGTCCAAAAACAAAGTTTGTTCTACATGATATGTACTACAACTTTTATTTAAGGTCCAACCTCAAAAATGGTATAGAACCTACTGTTCTACTTTGACCAAAGTAGGATCACGATGATACTTAAATTATCCTTTTTGATCCATTGGAGCATTTTCTTGGTATTTTCTCAACATGAACCCTTCATGACTTTTGTTGTAGAGTTCATCTAGAGTCATTTGGGCAAGGTTGCAAGGTTTGGTGAACAATCTAGAATTCCATTCACTTTATAAAACGATCCAAGCAAGGACATAACTTGTCATTTCATGTGACTTCTTGATTCCAAACTTCATGAAACTTTTCGAGTGCCCAATATAGATGGGTATTGATGTGAGACATATGAAGATATCCCAATCACACCACCCAAGCATATATCTTGAAAAGGGGTCTATAGGCGAGCACAGGTGCCATATCCAAGTTTAGGTTGGGGCTCGTTTCTATAGGTTTGACCTTGACATCTTCATCATCACTTAATATACCATGTTTTAGCTCAACCCCATTGCTTAACTAGTGGCAAACACCTGGGGTGTTACAATGGTCAACACTGTAGAGACATCCAGCTCTGTCAAGCGCTTGCTCAGAATCGACAGATCATACACAAGATCGCTGTTAATATCGGACAACAGGATGCACTAATCAATATTATGAGAATTTATGATTGATGTGGCTTTAAAACATATTATGCTGTTCCATTCGAATCACAAACCTTGAGATGACACCAAATATACACAAATAGCAGAAAAGTAACGTAAGATTTCTCAGAGATAGACCATCTTCTTTTGAGTACTCATCCTGCCACAAGAGAAACACAAATAGTATCAGCTCAATAAAAAAATCCATTAGGATCACCACACAAAAGAATTCAAGAATCCTCGAGGCAAGCAGATATACAGAGAACATAATAAGTCATATTTATCTTAGTAATAAGAAGAGTGATACCTCAAACGACTTAGCAATAGAGGCAAGGATCTTGGCACTGAAGTCAATACCAACCAAGCCTGCAACAAAGGCTGCAAACACAGCAGCATATCTGCAAAAACAACAAAGCATTAGTTTTGCAGTAGTAAACTATATCAAATTCTGGCAAGACTGAGACTATCATATTCATACGAAAATGGGGTTTGTAACAAATACACTAAGTGCTTAATCAGTCTAAAGAAAAGACTTATATGGTTGATGAGAGACCCTTAACTGTTCATTGCCGCGAGGTCCTCGGGAACAACTAGCCAAAACCTCATCCCTAATTATCTGAGAGCCAACACTTCGTGGAACAGACTGTGGTAGATAAAGCAACAAAAAACGGAAAACAGTACCCCATGGTTAATCAAGACCCGCAAAAAAATATCTGAAAGACATGTGGTAGAGAAATATCAGAAGAAATGTGTCGGGTTCATAAACCCGGGGTCCCCAATGTACCCACTTCCCTGCAAAAACTCGGCCCAGCAGACGGCATAGCAACAGCGCTCGCTTCCTGGGCCGGCCCATATACATAATGACAGGCCGGGACAACGATCCGGTCCCCGATCGGAAGCCCTGGCCAAGGAGGGGGCGAGGTCCGACTCCGACCTCCTTTTCCGACCAGAAAAACGCCGGACCTCTGCTCATGGTTCTTCCCCGACCGCGTGGGAACGACCGACCGAGGACGCCCGCTCAGTGAGGGCCTAGGGATCAGGCAGAACAGATAAGGTAAGGCGCTTAAGTCAACCGCAATATCGAGGACCGTACCCTGCCATACCCTGCGCGCCTTCAGGACGGTGCCACCAGGCCATGCCAAACGGGCACTATGCAACCTTCCAAGCGTTTCAGAGCACAAACAGTATTGTAGGCGCCGACGTTTGCCGTACCAGACAAACACGGTAGAGCCTGCCATGTGCGTTTGACATAAATAGTATTGTGAGCGCCGATGACCGTCTCGTACCCAACAACGTGGGCAACAAGACTAGGTAGCACACGTATCCATTCTCTCTTTCTCTGACTTGTAAAGCCATCCCTTCAACTATAAAGGGAGATGCGCTCTCTCCTCTCTGGGAGACGTTCTCTCTGGCTTTAGACAACCTGAGCACTCGAACAGCTCAATAGTTCTAGAACCCAACAGCTACATAGAGCATACGCTCCAATACTTAGCGCACGTTAGAGCACCCGTCACTCTCGATCGCTTCGGTTCAGAGTCCGACCGGGCCTTTAACACCCCCTTCTCATTCCTACTCGTTTGTAACCCCACAGCAAACTTTGAGCACCTGGGCTCAGGAATAAAGTCATCGACCGACTGAAACTGGATGTAGGGCACGTTGCCTGAACCAGTATAAATCCTGCGTTATTGAGTGCTAGGCCACATCCGATCACAACACGCGGCAAAACTATAAATATTTACTTGTTGGTCACTTTTCGCACCGACAGTTGGCGCCGTCCGTGGGAGGACGTCGTGCGTTCACGCTTTTGGTCATCGGATGGCCCACCTTTCCACCATCTTCGTCATGGCGGGCTCGAGCGATACGATTCGCTTCGGCTCGCTGGAGTTTCCTGACTCCCACCTATAGAGATGTGGGTTCCTCCCGTTTTCCAGCCGCTCCAGACTTTCCTCTTTGAAAGTCTGGACTTCGTCGCCGACCGGCTCAGCGTACTGCACCTCCACAAGAAGGCGTTTGCCCCGGCGTCCACTGGAGGAGCGCTCTACACCGGCCCCGGGCCACTCGACGACCCCAACGTCGAGACACTCGCGCTTCACCTCGAGCACATGTTGGACTCAAACTCCACGATGAGTAACGTACATGTTGTTCTTTACTCACTATTTAATACCTTCTACTGACTCTCTGGGGGGATTCCGTTGTCCCCACCGTGACTGCCGTACAACCGGTTCTCCGACGGCTTCGCGTCCCCCGGTGAAAGCTCTAGTTTGGTTTTGGTTAATTGATGAAACCCTAAGTGCTAACCTAGTTTATCAAAGTGATTATAAGATAGGTAGCACTACTCCAAGTGATGAAGCAATGGCGAAGATCATGACAATGGTGATGGCATGGTGATGATCAAATGCTTGAACTTGGAAAAGAAGAAAGAGAAAAACAAAAGGCTCAAGGCAAAGGTATAAATAGTAGGAGCCATTTTGTTTCGGTGATCAAGACACTTAGCGAGTGTGATCACATTTAGGATCGATAGACGTACTATTAAGAGGGGTGAAACTCGTATTGAAATGCGGTTATCAAAGTACCACTAGATGCTCTAACTCATTGCATATGCATTTAGGATCTAGTGGAGTGCTAACACCCTTGAAAATGTTTGTGAAAATAAGCTAACACATGTGCATAAGGTGATACACTTGGTGGTTAGCACATTTGAGCAAGGGTAGGAAACTTCACCGGCATAGTGTCTGCCCGTAGAGTGCGGACAGTCCGACGGTGCCACCGGCGCCCTAGACAGAAAAGATGAAGGTCACTGTAAGTGACCGGACGCTGGTCTCAGTTGGACTGACACATTCGGTCAGTGACAGCAGAAAGCACACTGTCTCGGTCTTGTGACCGGACGCTGGAGTGTAAACTGACCGGACGCTCATGGTCTGAGTCCGGTCGGTGCTGACGTACGCTGATGTGTGGCGCATAGAGGAAACGTTGAGTGACCGGACGCAGGGTGTGTCCGGTCAAGCATGACCGGACGCGTCTGGTCGTAAAATGTCGCGTTTGGAACCTTACTGGAAATGACCGGACGCTGAGATCCAGCGTCCGGTCACTTTCTAACTGACGCGTCCGGTCATCACTTGACCGTTGAAATCGGGCGATCAGCGTTTGAAGCCGATGACACGTGGCGCACATCGCACGACCGGACGCTGAGGTCCAGCGTCTGGTCGGCCCGTGTTCAGTACAGTGAGGAGCCCAATGGCTCTATTTTGTGGGGGCTTCTATTTAAGCCCCATAGCCGGCTCAAGCTCACTATCTTGGCCATTTACATTGATATAGCAACTTTGTGAGTTTAGCCAAAATCCTCCAACTCATCACCATCATTGATTCATCATCATTGTGAGATTGGAAGAGAATCCAAGTGCATTGCTTGAGTTATTGCATCTAGAGGCACTTGGTATTCGTGTTTTGCTGCGGATTTTGCTTGTTGCTCTTTGTGGTTGCCACCACCAAGACGACTTGTTGCAGCGGTGGAGGATTGGCATGAGTTGGTGATTGTTTGTGGCCATCTCTGGTGATTGTGAGGGGATTTGTACCTTCCCCGATGGAGCGCCGAAAGGTAACTCTAGTGGATTGCTCGTGTCATTGAGTTACCTCACTTATGTGTAGGTTCTTGCTGTGTCCAATCATGTGGACGAGGTTTGTGCAACACCTCTTAGCCACCGAACCACCAAGTGTTGATCGACACAACGGGGACGTAGCGTGTTGGTAAGCACGTGAACCTCGGGAGAAAATCGGTTGTCTCTTGCCATTTGACATTCTCTCGGTGATTGATTTCATCTTCATCTTGTGATTGGTTCATCCCTCTACACGGCGGTATAATCAACTTACTCACTCATTTATATTCTTGCAAACTAGTTGTGGCAAGCTCTTTAGTGTAATTAGAATTGAAAGCTTGCTTTGTTATTTTAAGTTCATCTAGTGGAGCTCTTTAGAGTAGAAAGATTGAGAGCTCTTAGTGAGTAGCAACATTGCAAGTTGTGTGCCTAGTAATCATTGCAACTAGAATTGTTGGACAAGTGGCTTGCAACCCTTGTAGAGCTAGAGAAAGTTTGCATTTCGCTATTTGTCATACTAATCAAATTGCTCTAGTTGATTTGTAGATTTTTAAATAGGCTATTCACTCCCCCTCTAGCCATATTAGGACCTTTCAAGTGGTATCAGAGCTATGGTCACCGTTTGATTAAAGGCTTAACAACCTCGGTGTCAAATTATGGCTCAAGTTGTGTTCAACCATGTGGGGGGCAAACCACCGTTCTTTGATGGCACATGCTATGATTATTGGAAGAGAAAGATGAGGATGTATCTTGGTTCAATCAATGATCAAGTATGGGAAGTGACCGAGAATGACTATGCCATCATTGATCCCGATGATCCCACCAACCAAGATAAGATCAACAAGCAATGCAATACAATGGCTCTCAACACAATATACAATGCCATTGATTCGAAGGTGTTTGAGCAAATCAAGGATTGTAAAAGAGCAAATGAGGTGTGGAGGAGATTGGAGGAAACATATGAGGGCACACCGATGGTTGAGCAAATGAGGTGTGGAGGAGATTCCAAGGTGTTTGAGCAAATCAACATATGAGGATTGTAAAAGAGCAAATGAGGTTGTACATTCTCAAGGATAAGTTGACAAGCTTCAAGATGAAGGAAGATGAGAGCATTTCGGAAATGTTCCATCGGTTGCGAGTGATTGTAAATGACTTAAAGGCCTTGGGAGAAAAGATCAAGGACAATGATGTCTCTCATCGGTTCTTAATGTGCTTACCTTCAAGATTTGAGATGTTGAGATTGCTTATCATAAGAGGAGGATTGAAGGAGATTACCTCTAACCAAGTACTAGGTGATGTCATGACCCAAGAGACATACCGAGTGGAAAGGGAAGGAGGTGACAAGGATGACAAGAAGGAAGAAGAAGACAAGAAGAAGAGTATAGCATTCAAGGCTAGCTCATCATCATCCAAGAACAAGGGCAAGTCCAAGAAAGAATCAAGTGATGATGATGATCTTAGTGATATTGATGATGAAGCTATGGCCCTCTTTGTCCGCAAGATGGAAAAATTCATGAAGAAGAAGGGTTATGGCGCAAGAAAGAGAAGATATCACACCAAAAGCAAAGAATATGTGAGAAGATGCTATAATTGCAAGAGCCCCGATCACGTTGTAGCAAATTGTCCCTATAATAGTGACAATGATGAGGATGAGAAGAAGAAGCTAAAAAGGATAACAAAGAAAAGAAGGAGAAGAAGGAGAAGAGAATGACCTTCCAAAAGAAGAAGAAATGTGGAGGCTATGTGGTCACATGGGATAGTGATGGCTCTTTGGATAGTGATAGCTCTAGTGATGATGACAAGAAATCTATCAAGAGAGCACTAGCAAGCATCGCCATCAATGACAAGCTCTCCATCTTCGACACTCCATCGACATGCCTCATGGCAAAGCCTACCAAGGTAAAATATGACGTGAGTGATGACGATGAATGTGAAAGTGATACTTGTAGGAATGATGATAATGATGAGGATGAGGATGAGGAGTACACTAAGGAAGAACTCTTGGACATGTGTGAGCAAGTGCACGCTTGCAATGAGATGAAGAGAAAGG